GATCTCCAGACCTCATTTAGATTTCACTAGGGTGTCATGTACTCGTGTGTGTGTGTGTGTGTGTGTGTGTGTGTGTGTGTGTGTGTGTGTGAGAGGGAGAGTTCTGTTTAATTTTATCACATATATAGGTTCAACGTAACCCCCACTGCAGTCAAGACACAGAGTTCCTCATTATTTTGGTTTTAAAATGGAAAGGCGCAGCTCCAGTCCTGGGAACCCTGGGTCCCAAGCAGACTGGATGATGGGTCACCCTGTTTATCACTGAACCTAGGTGGTGCTCTCCTTCGTGAGCTCACTTTGGGCCCCAGCCGTAGTTTTGGATCTGCCTCAAACGACCCCCTTTGTCAAATGGACACATTGGAGTCTCACACGGTGTTTACGGGTGTTCTCGTCAAGCAATAAACGTACTATACTCAGTGCTATTTTAGTAGATTTTACCTCCGGGTTCGCTTCCTGCTGCCCACTTTGAAAAGGCGGGCTGCGCTAGTTAGAGGAGCTGGAGTTGCGTGGGGGTGGCTTGTGAAAGTCTCTGTGTCCTTCCTTCCAGGGTCCAGACAAGGCTCGCTCCCAGCTCCTGATCCTGGACCGTGGTTTTGACCCCAGTTCCCCCGTGCTGCATGAACTGACTTTTCAGGCCATGAGTTACGACCTGCTGCCGATTGAAAATGATGTCTACAAGTAAGTGTTTACACCCGCAGGGACCGCAGCTTTAAGTTAGAGGAAACACCTCTAATTTAGGAAAAAGGATGTCATTACCCTTAGGAAAAGCAGGGGTGCTTTGATACCTGCAGTCTTTTCTGTGACTTCCCAAAATCCAATGGCATTTCTAGCTAGGGACTCGGGCGCCTTTTCGGGGAGAACAAGAACTTTAGATCTTCAGTTCACTTTCACGTCACCTCCGTCCGTAGCCCACTTGGATGTGTTAATGGCGATTTGGGCGCGTGTGCGTGTCTTATTCAGAGTTGAACCTTTTTAATTAAAGGTCATGAAATATGATGATAAAATATGTTAACAGGAGTTTCTTACTGAACATTATTTGCGGAGGAGCAGTTTTCTTCTTTATAAACAACATTTTTCTTGGTAACAATCATCAGAAATTTGGTTTCCAAAAACTAATTTTTCTTTCTATGGAAACAGACTGTGTTGTTCTCGTGTCATTTATTTTACAGCCTTAAGTGGTTTCAAAATGAAGGTTCTAAAAAGATGAGTGAACCTCTGCTCTTCTCCCTTTCGGTCCCCATCATTTTTGCTTTCCTGTAGATGTTCATGATTCCACGTGTAATCATATGCTGAGGGCCTGTCGTAAGTAGCTGCTACTAGAAGCTGTTTAGTCACCTTGAAGATGATCCCCAGTCCTTTTTCAGAGAGGGACAAGTGTAATCTTTGTCCTTTTTTAGTAACTGAACCCACCTATAACCTGACTTCACACCCTGAACCATGTGGCTCAGGTAGCGCTCCTGTCAGCTGACCCTGATGATTTTAAAACAGAGCTTTAAGTGAGTTGACCTTGATTGGAGCTTTGGGTCTCTCCCTGCCAAGTTACTGCTTGTACTGCAGACCTAATACAGACAGTGACACGTCAGATGGTCTCGGGGCTTGAGATATCATTCATGTGGACATCCATCAGGACTGTGGGCTTTTGTCCGTTAAAGACCAGAGGGGACCGGATGAATTTTGCGGGGCTGTCCTCTCTCTAGGTATGAGACGAGTGGCATTGGAGAGGCGCGGGTGAAGGAAGTGCTTCTGGATGAGGACGACGACCTCTGGATAACGCTGCGCCACAAGCACATCGCAGAGGTGTCCCAGTAAGAGCTCCTCCCTGTGCCCCCCTCCAGGGAGGGACATTTCTCCCCAAGTGCAGTTTCTGATACTCCGGGCAGCTTGGGCAGAGCTCATCAGTGGGTGGATTCGCTGCCTTGGCAAAGTCGCCAGCATGCTAACCTATGACAAGACGACAAACCCCTTCTGATCTGAGCTTCGGCTCCGCCAACTTCAGGAAGTTAGAGAATCCGTTCTGTGTTGCGGAGGGCGCTTAGAATTTTCAGAAAGCATTTGTAGCTCTGTCAGCAAAATGTGTTATAAACACATGTAAAGCGAGTGTGAGCCACTAAAAGATCCAGATGCCACTACATGCAGTTCTCTTTCATGTAATTGGTGTGCAGTCTTCCTCTCCGTTCATACGGAAAACTGCTGAGCGAGAACCGGTGTTTGTGGGCACTGCAGCTCCCGTGCTCTGAAAGTGTTTCAAAATGTTTCTGATATCTAAACATTGCTATAACACCTCGAAACAATTCTGTCTTTGCAGAAAGACACGTTCTGCTACATTGAGTTGGTGACATCCTCAGGAAATTCACAAGGAAGAGTGAGAATAGTCTGAGATAGCTCTGTTATTTAGAAGTGGTCTCCAAACTTCGGATTACTCAACTATAGAAAAGTGTTGATATACAGTTTCAGTATTTAAATTTATCTATGAATTAAAAATATGCTTTATTGTACTAATATATGTATTTTGCAGTATTTACAAAAACATGAATTTTAAAAGGATGAAGTAAAATAAACATAAATAGATGTCCTAATGTTTTCTTCTCGAATCAGCTCGTACACCCCACTCTGAGACCCTGGTTTAGAATGTTAGTTAGGAAAACAATATCTCTCTCTCCCCTCTTAGAAAATCACATTAAATGCATATCTTACTGGCAGGAAAAGTCCCCACATTTTCCTAAAGGAAGAATTCTGCATCACTCCTGTAGCTTCCACGTAGAGGTGCTTGATATTTCTTTGAAACTTAGCTGCCTCCTTCTGTCTTCCAGGGAAGTCACCCGTTCTCTGAAAGATTTTTCTTCTAGCAAGAGAATGAACACTGGAGAGAAGGTAAACCCCTACTAACGCTGCCATGCCCTCTGAGCCGATCCCCGCTTTCTCTCTAGGAGCAGCCAGGACACCTTCTCCGCCTAAGACTAGTGAGTGTGTGTGTGGGGGGGGGTCATAGTCCTCCCTGCATCTGTGATTATTTTGCCTTATTTTTGCATTCAAGATTGAGATCCAGAGCCCCGTTTTTTATATTTATAGAACTGCTTTTTGTTACTTGAGGATTCATATTTACTCTTTTGGATCATGATTCATTTTAAGCCAGAAGAACTGCGAAACTTTTTTTTAGCTTGTGGGAGAATTAGAATTCATGACCTAACTCACTTGGGCCTCTCCTTATCCTGACTGTTGATCAGAGGTGGTTGAAATGCAGCTCTGATTGTGTCACTCCCTTGCTCAAAACCATCTAGAACTTCGCGTTGCCAGCAGAATGCAGCCTGACCCGCGATGCGTCTCACAGCACCTGGGTCATCAGGCTCCAGAGACTCTGTGGTCTCACCTCTGTTTCCCTCCTGTCCCTGCCGCCTCGCTGTAGCCGCCCCTGAGTTCCTTGCCTGGGCCTTTGGCTCAGGTGTCATTTTATGGAGAAAAACTTCCCCGTTCTTCCCTAGACTAGTGGACTGGTGCGGTGCCTCTGCCCTGTACATCCACACTCTGATGCCTTCAAGGAGCGCTGATCCACTCAGTTGGAGGCCTCCACTGCTGGGCCTGAGCTCTGTGAAAGCAGATAATCTTTTTTCTTTTTTTCTTTTTTTTTTTTTTTTTTTTTTTTGGTCCTGTATCTGCAGCACTGAAAGGCGTCTGGCACGTAGTAGTAATTTAATACATTTTTGTTGGGTAGATGAATGGGATTAGGTGGGTCACACAGTTAAAAAGTAAACACATACCTTTCACCTGTCGGGATGCAGATTCCAGCCTTTTCTTGCCTCCTCCTGATTTTCCACCTCTCCACACGACCACAGCCTTTCTGCTGGGATGAACTATGAACTTGATACCGAGAGTGCTTGAGCTGAGTATGCAGAAAAGCAGTGGGCAGAAGAAAAATCATTCTTCCCTGGCAAGAATTATGCTCTCAACTTTCTAGTCCAATAAATAAAATATAATTGATAGACTTCAGAGTTCAGTTCCCCATCTATAAGATGGTCATAGTATTTGGATCAATACTGTTTTTGAAGCCAGAAGCCTAGTGATCTAAATACACGTGATCTTATGTTTAATGGATTCGTTTTGAGAGTTACAGAGCGTGCACTCGGGGAGCCCAGTACTGACTGCTGTCCTGTTCTTTGCCCACCCCGCTTGTCCCGCCTCTTAGATCAGGGTCATGTACTTTCCTTTCCTGTCACTTACAGACCACCATGCGAGACCTATCCCAGATGCTGAAGAAGATGCCCCAGTACCAGAAAGAGCTCAGCAAGGTATGGCGATTGAACATGACCGATTGGAATCATGGGTATAAATAGCTGCAAAAAGACTTCTCAAAGCCCAACTAAATCCATCGAAATCCATGGATTTTTAGGCATCTTCAATTTTTATTAGACAAAAATGGAAGGCCATGATAGACAGTTTATTTCCTATGACTTTCTTGTCACCTCTCCATCTTTTTTTCTCTTTACCCTTCCTGTTCCTCCCCTCATGGACCTCGCCACAGGGCTGCTTGAGTGTCATCATGACATGGCAGCTGGCTTCCCCGGAGTGAGTGACCTGAGAGAGAGAGCTAAGAAGAAGTCACAGTGCCCTTTATGTCCCGATCTGGGATAGCACACATCGCTTCCCCCACACTATTCATTAGAGTCACTAAATGTAGCCCACGCTCCAGGCTCCAGGAGAGGGGAACCACGCTCCGCCTGCTGGAGGGAGGAATATTAGAGAACTCATGGACCATCGTGCCACCCTACCCCCCATGAGGCCTTCCTCCTTCCTCTAGACTCTTTAGAATGTGATGTGTTTCTCCTCACACACAAAATTTAGCTCCGCCTGCTGGAGGGAGGAATATCAGAGAACTCATGGACCATCGTGCCACCCTCCCCTCCATGAGGCCTTCCTCCTTCCTCTAGACTCTAGAATGTGATGTGTTTCTCCTCACACACAAAATTTCCTGCCTTGCGGTGTTTGTGTATCAGCCTGAACACATGTTTCATTTCCTTTGTGAGGCTGGAGACTCCTTGGTGCCTAGCCCAGTGTTTATACGTCGTAGGTGCTCGGTAGATATTGCATGAATCGGTGAGTAATTCCTTTATCACAAACTCTGCTTTTTCCTAGTATTCGACTCACCTGCACCTTGCCGAGGACTGCATGAAGCATTACCAAGGCACCGTGGACAAGCTCTGCCGGGTGGAGCAGGTAGGACTTTTTCCTTCTCGTCCTGCCATGCCCATTTACCCAGCTGAATTTTAATGTCTGACCTTGACTATCCTGCAGAATCATAGGAAATAGAGATGGGAAAGCCTGCTAGAACGTGTTGTCTCACCTCTCTGGAGCAAGTGCCGTCCGCTCTCGATGGTAGGGACGAGACTGGTCTGGAATGCCGTGCCTTTTGGATTTTGCATGCCTGGCTTTCCAAAGGCTCCGTTTTCCCCAGAGTTGTTGAAGGGAGGTGTATGGAGCTCTGAGCCCTACGTGGACAGGGCTGGCTGAAGTTTACGTTCGGAATGTGTTTCCTCCTGCCGTGGCCACACCAGCTTTGGAGACCTAGGGGCTGGAGGGGGGATAGTGCAGTAACAGGTCAGATTTACACACAGCCTCACCGGTCACAGTTAGGACTGTAAGTTGAGAGTTGGAGATTTGAGTTCTGTCTCTGTCGCTGATTTGTTTGATGTGCCAGTTTCTCTCCGCTTTATTTTCCTCATCTGCAAAGGGAAATAACAGTGCTGCCACAATTTTCGGGAGTGTGTGTGGAGTCTGTAATCCTGGCCCTCCATTCCGCAAGTGTGGTGACAGTGCTCAACTAGGATCCGCTTCTAAGGGAAGAGAGGGCATTAAACAATCCTGAAGCCTCGGCGGAAGCTCCCTCCTCACAGGAAAAGCAGCCCGAGGTCTCAGTGTGAAGCTAGGATTTAAGTCTTCTGGTTTGATGTGACAGGCTTAGGTTTGTAAGAGCTGTTCTGATTCATTGTCCCCCTTCTAAGGGGAAGCCGCCCTGCTCAAGTCCATCGGTTTCACAGGTGACGTCAGTAAACACAAGGTGTCCTCTCCAAAGGAATTTGACCATCCAGAGAATAGGTTATCCGTAGATCAGTAAAAATGCGATTGGGATTCATCCTTGGAAGTTTAAATTTTTTCAGAAGTGCTCAGTATTTTTGTTGAAGCGGTTACATTTTAGTTGACTTTTAGAGAATTGGAATCAGGTCTTGCTGAACAAATGTCTTTTGAGGCTGGTGGTGGGACTGAGGTGAAAGGGCCTAGGAGAGATGCCCTGCTTTCCTCCAACCCGGACTGGGAAGAGACCATGAACTTGAGATCGTGATTGTTATGGACTCCTCAGAGCAAAAAGGAACCATTCAGGCAACCCCAGTAAAGCCACAGAGGGAGTTACAGCCGCTGGCCTCTGAGAGCAAGACCAGATGGTTCTTGATGAGCTGAGACTGCCATGCTGCTCTCTCTGCCTGTCGAGAATGGGTCTGACTCGTAAAACGGGGCCGGCAGACTATTACTTCATTCTCTTTCATCTTCATTTCTTTTGGGAACTCATTCTTTTTCCTCCTCACCCTAGAATTGGTTGGAAGATTAAAAGCAGAGACTAAATACCTGTGTAGTTAAAACTCAAAAAGCATATCCTTAGTGCCAGGGGAAGCAGAGTGGGAAGAGTCGAGCGAGGCAGAGGCACCTTAAATGCCAAAGCCCTTCCTGTGTGGGACTGTGTCCCTCTAAGCCCTGGTCCCTCGGCAGGGCTTTGTACCTCTGGAGGACCCATCAGGATTAAAGCTTTCCCTGAGGAGCCAGGGCGGGTACACTGGCCCTCGCCTGAAGCGAACAGCTGTCTGGCAGATCGTTGTGGTTTCTGTGTTTGGAAAGTGAAACCTAGAGCTCTATTCTCACTGATGCTCTGGAAAATAGTCACCTGCATCGTGAGAGGGGACGTACCCATCAAAGACTTCCCCTAACCCAGCCGCAAGTCCCAGACATTTACAGACCAGCAACTTTCTAATAGTTACCACCTATCCAGACTGTCGCCAGGAATGGGGCCAGCGTGCTGTGTTTCTGCAGGACCTGGCCATGGGCACTGATGCCGAAGGGGAGAAGATCAAGGACCCCATGAGAGCCATCGTCCCCATTCTGCTGGACGCAAATGTCAGCACTTACGACAAAATCCGCATCATCCTTCTGTACATCTTTCTGAAGAATGGTATGAATGCTGGATGGAGATGAGGCCCGCTGGGAGAGCGAAACCAGGGTAGAAAAGTGGTTGAAAAGACATGGAAAAGGGAAGGAAGCGTATTTATCAAGATGACCCTAGGGGCTCTTTACGTTTGGGGAAACGGAACGTAAGCAAAGCAGTTACAGCTAGAGGCCGAGTGTCCCCGAGTAATTCCAGGTTAACTGGTGGCATGGGGCTATGGAAGGGGGGAGTGCGGGGGAGCAGGGCGAGCCCTTAAAGCAGGGAGATCTGGCTGCCTTGTTAGAGCATTTCTGCCAGAGACTTTTAACTTGCACATTTGTAACTGTGCCTTTAAATAACTGATTTTTACCCACATGATAGTTGCCATAAGTGCCCATTGTGCAAAAAGTTGGGCACAGAGACTCTCTTGACCAGGTTGATTTTGATGTGGGCAGAGATGGCTAGAAACAAGGCAGAGAGGGAAGCAGAGAACACGAGGGGCAGTTTCTGATGGTCACAGCGGGGACAGAGTGGTGGGGGCGGAATCGGAATTCTGATCTCATCCTTGTTTTACAGTGAAGTCGATGCAATGAGCAGATTAATTTCCCCTAATCTAGAGGAGGAAAAGGGTCACCGTCCCTCCCAGGCGCTTGGCTCTCCTTCTGAGTGTGTGATGCGTGTTGGTGGGCATGGTGACCGGGGGTTTTGTCCTCTCAGGCATCACTGAGGAAAACCTGAACAAGCTGATCCAGCACGCCCAGATCCCACCGGAGGACAGTGAGATCATCACCAACATGGCGCACCTCGGGGTGCCCATCGTCACAGATGTAAGGGGCCAGCCCTGTGTGTGGGGACGGCAAGGCAGGATGGAAGCTGCGGGCTTTATCTCCTCCCCTAACTTCCTTAAGGCAGCTTATGATACACACACTCAACATCGAGAAAGAGAAAACAGATAAATCAGAGGAATAAAGATACAGAGGTGTGAATAAAATAGTGGTTTAGCGCGCAGAACCCAGATATGCCCACCAAGGAGTCACATACGGTCAGGAAAGCTGAGCTGTGTCTGTGAGCCGGCCCACAGTGGGGGTCACACTAGCTTCTTCGGGTGAGTCTAGCTCTGCCTTTGGACACTGAGACCCAGCATCATCGGTGAGGGTGGGAATCGACACTTGGCATCAAGCAGTTTTGTGTCTCCTGCACTGGCAGTGGTTTAGGACCAAGTCAGGGCAGGTTGTCTGGGAGGCCTGACCATGCCCTGAGCCCTAGGAGGCCCCGGGACTGAAGGAAGAGGCCCGAGCACTCTTCAGAGCACCCCACTAGGAGCTGCACCGGCGGGAGCCCCACTGTGCACTTGCTTCCTGTAGGGAGTCAGCCCACATGACAGTGCTAACAAAGCTAGGGTTGCAGACGCACCCCGTTTAGAATCTTGGAGCCAAAAACTCTTTTCTGGAGCCACCAGCCCAGAGGCCTGTAACTGGCGTTTTCAGACCCTTGTCCACAAGAAAACCCAAAGTGAGAATGGAGATGATTCCTTCGGTACCTCTTGCGCTCCTGAAACAAAATCAAAGAATGTCATATTCAAAGTAGTAGTTTCTCCCATAATTGATAGCAAACTACTTTTTTTTAACTAGCTGGATTTTTTTTTTTTAAGTGGCACTCTTATATTTGACCCACATTTGCCATTTTCATGGCTTTAAAGAACAGGTTTGCTCCAGGTTCCTAAAAGGGACATATTTTTGGCTTCTCCAGGGAAAACGTCCGCCTACTCATTCCTTTTTGCCAGTGCTGCCTCTCTGAAGGGGGTCCTTGGGAGAGAATTCCCAGAGGCCAGCAAGGCGACCTGGGGCCCGGGCATCCCCCGACTCGGTCTAACCGTGCATGTGTTTGCATTCAGTCCACGCTGCGTCGCAGAAGCAAGCCAGAGCGGAAGGAGCGCATCAGTGAGCAGACCTACCAGCTCTCGCGGTGGACCCCGATAATTAAGGACATCATGGAGGTCAGTGACGGCGGCTTGGAGAGCGTGGAGTGGGGCAGCCAAGGCCCGTGGGCTTCCAGCTTTGCCTTCCATCAGGTGGCGGCAACACCGCATAGTGTTTGCATCCAGGTCTCCAGAACTTTTTCGGGCCACAAAGCACATCTTGTCCTGAGGGCTTATGAAGAGCAGTCCCAAGAGACTGCCCTGTGCAGGTCCCCAGGGTCCCTATGATTTAGCCCTGTTAGAGTCCCTTCGATGGTCCCGCACCCAAAGGAACCAAGCGTAGCACAGCATCTAAAGGTCCAGTGAGTAATGAGTTCCATGCCGAGGCACAGGTGTGCTGTGCGGACACCTCTGCAGGTGTGAAAAGGTCTCCTGAATGTGACCCCAGCCTGCCCATCCCCTCCTCCAACTGCTCCCCTCCCTCCATCCTCCATGCCAACCAGAGACCCTACCAAACATATTTCTGCCTCTGCTCTTCTGTCCAGACCCATTCCTTGTCCAGAATGTTCTCACTCTCCTTTCCACTTCCTGAATCCTGCCTTCCTTCAAAGGCCCCATCGCGTCTCAGTGTTCCCACACCCCACCCCAGAGAGGCTTCCCCTGGACTCCTGCAGCACGTGTCGGGGGCTCTTCATGTATGTGTGCTGCTCGGTGTTCCAGGTCATTTTACACCTTGGACCTGTACGCTCAGCCAGAGTGTCCTCTGGCACCACACCTGGGCACAGGTGTTTCATCTCTGTAAGGTGTCCCTGTGGCGTCCCTCCCCTCTCCTTGTAGAGCAAGGAGACCCTACGTAGAACCCTACCCTGCTAGATTTTTGGAGAGGGATTGGAGGTAATCTGTCTGACTCCTGCACTTCACAGGTGCATAGAACTAGGATCCCAAGAATCAGGGATCCCCAACCCCCGGGTCATGGACTGGTACTGGTCCATAGCCTGTTAGAAACCGGGCCACACAGCAGGAGGTGAGCAGCAGACGAGTGAGCGAAGCTTCATCTGTATCTGCAGCCGCTCCCCAGCACTAGTAGCATCACCTCCTCAGCTCCACCTCAGGTCATCAGGCATTAGATTCTCATAGGAGCCCTGGTCCCTTGGTGCCAAAAAGGTTGGGAACCGCTGCTGAGGATAAAGGGACTTGCCCAGGATCCCTTTGTTAATTCATAGCAGTCCAGGTGTTTGTACTAAATTGTATGTTAAAATAAATATATATTAAATACATATAGTGAGTCAGCTTTCTATTTTTAAATCCCGTAAAGTCGAAAGGATGGGTGAACATAAGACATCTAGAAGCCAATTACATTTCTTTGCTTGATACAGTAGATAAACCCAACCCCTGTCTATTCCCTCCTTTGTTCTCTGCTCCCTTTTTCTGCCCCTCCTCCTCAGCCCCCCAAAAGCGGCATGTGTAGGTGTCACATGGTAGCTGTTAGTGGGAGTGCAGATCTCGAGGCAGCGGGAGGTGGGTAGCCGGAGGCCACCCACCAGATAATTAGCCCCTTGGAAAACTGAGGGCGGCAGGCTTCTCTTGCATGAGACACTCTGCCTGTGCCTAGTTTCTACAAGCCTGATGGCAAGTATTAGGAATTTTTAGACAGAATGCAACATTTATAATCTCATAGAATGTAAAAGTGGGGGGAGAATAAATTAGAGGGGAAACAAGAAAAGTCAGTGCAGTTTTTTTTTAACTTCTCTTCAAGAGCAGACCTACAGACCTACTCAGTATATTAGCCGGGTAGGAAGCGTCTGGTCCGTGCCGAGCACTGCACCGGGCACCTGCAGCAGGCGGCAGGGGAGGGGACTCTGGTCGTTGCAGACCTGGCCGTGGTTTTCACTCCGTGACTTGTTCTTCAGATCTTCTCACCTGGGTTCTCACTGCCCTTTACAAACAGGCGGCAGACCTAACATCAGCCTCTTTTCTTTCCAGGACACTATTGAGGACAAACTCGATACCAAGCACTACCCTTACATCTCTACCCGCTCCTCTGCCTCCTTCAGCACCACCGCTGTCAGGTAGGCGGGGGTCCCTGAGAAGCAAGGGGGCAGTAAGTGGGGCTGGCCCTGGCTGGGCGTCAGCTGCCTGGTAGTCTTGTGATGCTGTACGACCCCTGAGGACCCTCCCGCTGTTCCCATGATGGCCAGAGTGCAGGCCAAGTCCTTACAGCCGCCGTGAGGCACGTCCCCCTCCGGCTTCTGTTCCTCTGTTCCTCCCCCGTCCCTTCTCCTGTCTGAGTTCAACCATCCCAGGTCCTCGCTCTTCCCTGATCGTGCCAGGCTTACTTGTGCCTCAGGACCTTTGTTCTTACTTTCCGGGCCGCCTGAAATGATCTGCCCCCAGGTGTATCTGCATGGCCTGCCTCTTACCTCCTTCTGGTCTTCAATCAAGTATTACCCGTTATGATGTTCCCTAACCACCTGTTTAAAATCACAGTGCACCAGCGTTCCTAGCAGCAGAATTCATAATCACTCCAAAGTGATTGTGAATGCTGCTGAAATGACCCAAATGTCCATCAACTGGTGAATGATGGAACATGGTAGATTCATACAATGGAATAGTATTTAACCACAAAAGAGAATGAGGTGCCCATTCATGCTACGACGTGGGTGAACCTCGAAACAGTATGCTAAGTGAAAGGAGAGATCGCAAAAGGTGATTGTATGATTCCATTTGCGTGAAACGTCCGGAACGGGGAAATCTGTAAAGACAAAGTAGGTTAGTGGCTGCCAGGGGCTCGTGGGGGCGGAGGAATGGGGGATGACAGCTCATGGGTACAGGGTGTCTTTTTGGGATGATGAAAATGATCTAATATTGACTGTGATGATCATTCACAATTCTATGATTATACCACAAACCATCGAGTTGTACACTTCAATGAGTGATCTGTACGATACGGATTGTCACTCGATAAAGATATTATGGAAAATAAAAATATTGCAGCCTCTCCACAACACTGTTCATCTCCCTTCCCTACTTTATTTTTCTCCACAGACGACACCACTGCCTAGTGTACTATGTGTTTATTTTGTTTACTGCCAGTCTCCCCCGACTAGAACGTCCGCCTCGCGAGGGCAGGGATTTGTGTGTTTTATCCTCGGTGCGTAGAACAGAACCTGGCACATAGCAGATGCTCGGTGTATCGGCTTCCCTTTGGATTGATGAGTGGATTTTAGTTATTAATTAAGAAGGAGGTGAATACGTCATCTGCACAGAGCCACGTTTCTCAGACGCATTCTCCGTGGTGATGCAGACGATGGAAGTGTGGCTGCCTTGGGTTTACTGGGTTTCCGCCCTGTGCCTGGCGATGATGCACAGACACTTCCCAGCTTCAAGGAGTAAGCAGGGAGCAGTCGGTCCCCGGGCCCCCCGCTCCGTGTGTTCTTGGTTGCCCGCAGCACCTTGCAAGGCCTGCGTTTGAAATTCTCTTCCTCTCGTTCTCCGCCTTCCCATAGTCATCCAGAAACTGTTGCTGCTGTGCTCTGCGGGTGACATCTCCATGCGCCCATCCGTGGGACTCGAAGGCCTGCAAGCGCGTTTCACCTCCTGACTGTCTGTGCGGTCTAGGTCCCTCCCTGATACACAGCGCCATCTGGTACCTTGCCCGAGCCAGGGTGCTGCTGAGTTTTTCTCTGACAGCGAGAGCTTCGCTTGGCTCCTGAGAACAGTCAGGCCGAACACATGAGCTTGGACCTGAGTCGCGCCGGGGGGCACCCCGTGGCACTGTGTAGCGTGCAGTGGAGCCCGGGACTAGCACCTGAGGACATGCGCCTTCGTCCCTCTTCTCGTACTTTCCCCGCCCATCTTCTCTCCTGCCCCTCCTAACACGTTCATTTCCAGGCCTTTTCCGGAGGAGCAGAGGCCTGTGTGGCACATATGGCACACATGTGACACATTTGTGCACCCCCTCCGATGGCAGCGGAGGCCAAATGTTTATTGCCGACATGGGAATAAAATGCAAGCCCCCAGGTAGTGTCCCACCCCAGCTGGGTGGCGCTGGCAGAACGTCCAGCGGTTGTTCAGGCGAAGAAAGTGACTGAGGGTCTCCATGTTGGCCCACGTGGGTCCCCGGTGCCTTTGAGATTTGGAAAGAGACTATGATGCTCGTGGCCATTTAAGTCAGGGAGAAGGGCAGAGAGTTCACTGGCCAGAGGAGACTTGCTCTCCTCATTTTGTTTTGAGTTTTGTTTTGTGTGCCCCATTTTCTTAACTGGGAAACAACCCATTTCTCATTTCTAAGGTAAAAGTCCCTTGAAGAAGCCCAGTAGCAGAGGGGGCACCTCTGGGGAGTGAGGGAACTGAATCGAAACACATGTGTCTCAAGAAGCAATTCAGTGTCGCTTCTCCTGGGAAGCCCTCCCCAGTGACGCCAGGACAGCACCAGAACGGCCCTGCCCTGTGACGCCTGTCCCGTGACACGGAGCTCCCCTCTACCGTGGCACAACCCTTCCTTCTCACCAGCCTCTGCCCCACCCCGGTTTAGCCGTGAGCCTTGGTGGGCAAGGGCTGTGACTCCCTCAGGCTGGCTCCTCGGGGCTGAATCAGCCCCAGTCCAGTGAGACACACAGTACACGTTTGCGCAGTAAAGCCAGGCCTTAGACTGTGTCGTCACTGCTCACGGCCAGCAGAGTGTCCCAGACAGGCCTAGAAAAACATGTACAGCCGGGGGTGGACACCTAGACGAACGTCATGGCGCGTGAGGCTGTTGAACTTAACATGTCAAACTTTGAAGCTGACCTGAACCTGCCTGCCGCCTGCGGGCTCTGAGAGGTCAGCGAGGTCACAGTGCGGGCGCTCTCAGTGACTCTTCTCCCAGGAGCCAGAGCACCGAGGTTTTGCACTGCAGTTCATTCAGAATGCTTACTAAGCACCTACTCTGCTTTGGTCACTGGTGTGCAGACAAATGTGCAAACGAGTCACAGAGGTATGCAGTTACAAGTACTGTAAGAGCATATACACATAATTAATCTCTCTCTCTCTCTCTCTCTCTCTCTCTCCCCCCCCCATCCGCCCCCTTCCCTCTCCTCCTGCCCCCAGTGCCCGCTATGGGCACTGGCATAAGAATAAGGCCCCGGGGGAGTACCGCAGTGGTCCCCGCCTCATTATTTTCATCCTTGGGGGCGTGAGCCTGAATGAGATGCGTTGTGCTTATGAGGTGACCCAGGCCAATGGAAAGTGGGAAGTGCTAATAGGTGAGTGGGCATGTTTTCTAGAGGGAAGGGGCTGCTTCACCGCACTCTGACTCCATTCCACGCTTCGGTGTTCCGTTCCGTCTTCAACTCGCCGTCGCCCCTGCAGAGCTTAGTCCTAGGCCCGTTTGTGGCAGAAGCTAAGAGCGAAGGCTTCCTTCCTCGAGCCTGCGCTGTCTCTTCCTGAGAGGCAGCTGCATGTGCTGGAAGGTGCCAGACCACAGACTCCAGCAGCCCCAGGCTCCCTCTCTGCTCTGCCATTGCCCAGCGGGTCACCTGGAACAAGCGCCCCACCTCTCCTTACCTACCAGATGGGGTTGAGAACACCCACTTACAGCCTCGAACCGGGCCTGAGGCGAGACTGTTCGTGTCCTGGCATTGCGCCTCACGCCCAGAATTTGCTCGGTGAATGGGAGTTAAATCACGACCCGCTCCTTTACCTGCCAGTTGGGGTCGGACAGACATGGCGTGCAAGCAGATACTGCCCGAAACGTAGCAGCCCGACTGCTGGACTCTGCTAAGGGTGCCCCCCAACCTGGTCCGATAGCTTTCTGGGTCTGTCACACCCTGTCTGGTATTTCCCGTTGGTCTTCCCGAAAAAAAGGAAGCAACTCACACGAGCTGACTTAATGCAGCAGGAGAAGGGCCCCCTCCTTTTTCATGCCTGTAACAGCTTTCCCAATTTCTAGGGCTGGAAGAGAAAGAGTAAACTGAGAAAAACCTTGCTTTTTCCAAATGCCTTCCTTTTTATCCCGTCTTGCCCTTAACAAAATGGAGTAGCACCTGCCCAAGTGCCTCCTGATGTTGATTGGCAAGAGGCTGTCAGCACATACCCGGGCCAGGTCCCGACCTTTCCCATTATCCCGATAAGGTATGTCAGTTTTATACCTCCACTTTGGGGTGACCAAGTCACAGTGCCCCCCCCCACCCAGGCTCTCAGAGCGAGCAGATTCTACAGACCAGTCTATATGGCCGTTCCAGCTGGACCTGCCACTGTCTGCCACCTTCTAGATACCGCCATTCAGTGGGGAGATGGACATCTGCCCCCCACAACTCCCTGAAGCTTCCCCTGTCTGGTCGCCATTTCTCCCTGTCCTGTTTCTTCCTTTTTGTTACGTAGGCCCCTGCGACGAAACTCCCTGTCCCCTGCTTGCATACGTGTTGCACTCACGTGTGGGTGACTCTCAGCCCAAACGCAGCCTTCCTGGGCAGAAGCTGTCATAGCCAGGCCCAGGGGAAAATCTCCCTCTTCAGCTTCGGCCCTGGCCTGAGGCTCCCCGTCGGGCAGTGGGAACCTGGGGAGACAAAGTGGTCCGTGAAGATCTGTGGAGGGGCCTCGCAAAGACAGCCGACGTCCGCCCTGTGGCCTCCCCTGCTTTGTGCATGCCCGCTGTCCTTGCAGTACGCATGCGTGCGTGTGCATGTGTGTGCGTGCGTGTGCGTGCACGTCTTGCTTCCGCGTACCTCATTGGCTGCCTAAAATGTAGGCCTAAGTTGGCATGTTCCTGTGACGTACCTTTGTTCAAGCAGTCAGCTGGCCTCTGTTCTCCCGCAGGTTCTACTCATATTCTTACTCCCACCAAATTTCTCATGGACCTGAGACACCCCGACTTCAGGGAGTCCTCTAGGGTATCTTTTGAGGATCAGGCTCCAACAATGGAGTGAGAGCCAAAGAAACAAAGTAAAAGCAGCTTATTACACAAAAGAAACTCTTCCACTCCGAAGGGTTTTCTTTGATTATTCCGTCACTCTTTTTCTTTTTCCCTTTTTAGTTTATTATTTATTTGATTTTTCTTTAACAAGAAAATGCTTGCAGTTCTTAACACCGATTGAAAATGTGTCCGATGCCACCTTCACGCACCTGCCCCGGGAGCCTCCGGCTCCGGCTTGTCAGCTCCCTCATGCCTTGGGTTCCCTGCCGCTCACCCGACAGCGGCAGCCCACTGGGTTTTAAACCGAGAATGAGAATGGCTGCTACGCACAGTCCTCCAGCCGGGGCTGGAAGTTGAGGGATGCCAGAGGCGCGGCGCCCCAGCCTGCGGGCCCGGGGGTGAATTCATGAGCACCAGGCAGAGAACACATTGTGTGTCCTGGTTGGGACGCGGTATGAGAACTTGAGAGTGAGACCAGCAGGTGTTTGAGGGACAGGGCCAGTCATGTCCAAGAAGGCAGAAGCACTGTGGCGATGCCCCCAGGCACCTGACCGTGGGGAGGACCGTCAGAGTAGACTCCAGGTCAGAGGTAGTTAGACACGTCAATGCCCTTTTCCCGGGACAAGCACTTATCCCAAGGCAAAATTTCTAAGGGGTAACAGGGCCATAAACCACCATTATTTGGTGAGCTCCAGCCACCCACAGAAAGAGCTCATGTCTCATGTTCCTCTGAGGAAAACAGAACTTAATAGTCATTTGCTCCTCCAGTAATTGCTTTTACTTTAATTCTCCTGTGATCTTTTCAAGACTGGAGCACTCACAGCTAGAACTTAATAGTCATTTGCTCCTGTGATCTTTTCAAGACTGGAGCACTCACAGCCCCCTCTCCAACCGAAGCCTCTCGGTAAGAGCTGAGAGCCTTTGGGTAGGAATCTGCTCTTAGCACTGTGAGCTCTTCGAAGGAGCGTCCTCTCTCCCCGCACCCGGGTACCTTACCCCGCACCGGGAGCCCACTGTCAGGTGGATCGTCCAGATTCATTCTTCACTCCTTCCTCTCTCTTTCCATCCTTCATATGTGCTGGGAACCTTGTCTAACGAGTTTGGAAGACTGATATAGAAGACCCCCCTGCAGTGTTAGTCATGCCCTAGCTTCGTGACCCATTCTGTGGCAAGGCCGCGTTTTGTGTCCCTGACTTGGTATACTCCATTCACAGTGAAAGCACCCCCTCCCCCTGGGCTGAGCCATGGCCCAGTGAGTCTCACCCTGTGAGTTGCCTATGAGCAGTGGCAAAACCTGGACTCTGGCCCCAGCTCTGCCACGAGCACCTGTGTGACTGTAGGTCATCCCCACCTCCTGGGCCACAGTGTGTGGAACACAGGGAGGCTGGGTCATAGGGCCCCAAGCCTCCTCTGAGCTCTGACCATCCATAATTCAATAATTGATATTGGCGACCCAAACTGTGACCCTCGCTTGCACACTCTGGCGATCCTCAGGGGAATGGTCCATCAGACCCTTAGGCGATGTGAGAAGGTGCTCATTTGTGGGGAGGGAGTGCACTCATCCACAAAGGACCTGCTCTAGAGGCCAGAACAGGAGGCTACGTTGATCTCCTCTTTTTTTCTTGGGGGTGGAAGAGGGAAGGCTCCCCCAGGGCGGTAATAGCAAGTGGTTGTGAACCAGGACTCTGGCTGACTGTGGCCCTGGGCTGCCCTCCTCCAGAAAGTGAGGCCAGTGGAGCATTGACTAAAAGCAATTGTTAAATAATGAACGTTTAGAAGCACCTCGGTAGGTTGATAATCAGAGATATCTAGTTCTCTGTGCAGATGGCAGGTGGGTGGACCGTGTTTGCTGCTAAATGGACTTTGAGACAAATGTTGAGGCTGCAGCAATAACACCACTTGCAAGCTCCGAAAGAATCACAAACCCAGACCCCAAGGGCTCCTGCTTAGGACTCACTCTGGGTTCCCTGCTTCAGAAGTCTCCTTTGCCAACTGTTGCCCTTTGTTGTAGGTTCCGTCAGCAGAGAGGGTCTCAGCTGCCATCAGAGCAGAGAGAACATGAGTAGACTCTGGTTGTGCATCCCTGGCTTCTGAAATGCTTTGTTGCTTTTTAGAAAGTTCAGTTAAGAAAAAGCGAGGACCAGAGCCCTAATGTCAGGGAGCTCAGAAAGCAGATTAAAGTTCGACTTGCCCCTTCCGGCGTGATCGTCCAGGTGACCAGAGACTCGGACTGTGCAAAATGTTAGAGAACCAGGGATGTCTTCGCCCAGATATCGCTATTTTCAGTAACGTAGCTTCAAAGAGAATATGAGTTTTCCCGCTCAGCAGCGATTGAGTGTGTCCCCAGCAGGCCCCCGTGCATGGGTGCCCGTGCCTGGCTGTTCTCCCAGCGCCTCCCTCTCCTGGAGCTGGGGCCGGCTCCCCAGGGCTGGGTGAAGGGGAGTGGGTGTGGCCAGCTGCACAGCAGATCCCACCCAGCCTCATCGTAATCCCCACTAGGCACTTATCCTCCAGGTTGTCTGAGAAATGAAATCTGTTGATTAGATCTTCACCTCTACACTCCGGGTGACTTATTAAAAGTACTGGTCATTAGAGAATGTCCAGAGGCTGTCAGAAGCTAATGAAGGGATTGGAAGGCTGGGGAGACCTATTATATGGCACTTAGACTTGGGAAAAAGTTTTGGGTTTTTTTTTATATTGAATATTTTGCTTTATTCCAGATTGGGGTCAGACAAGTTTCATTTTTCAGCGGGGCTCAGATCTTTGAATCTGAATTCAGAGCCAGCCAATTGCCCAGCCGCTGTTTAAGTACTCACTCGCCTGTCCCCTCCTGGGGTCAGGGGGCCACAGGATGCCCAGAACTGAGACTGGTGGCCTAGCTTCTGGGCCTGGCTGCGAGCAAGCACTCCACTGCTCTGGGCTTCATTCTCCCATCTGTGGGCCGGACCTCTGTGTTCCAAACCTGGAGGCCGGCACACTCACCTGGCTGCCCCGAGATAGACACATTTCCAGGTGGCTCCCTGGGTCTTCTGGGTCCATGGGTCTCTTTCAGCTGAAGCAGCTGATCTGTAAGAACTCATCCAATTTTCAGATTCTGTTAGTGAAGAAAGAAGGATTTTGTCCTAGCAGAGCTCGCTGTGTCTGGCCCACAGCTTCGAGTCTTCTGGATGGCTTTGTTTTTGGAGACCATCCTTCCCATCTCACAATCTTTCGGTTACGTAGAATAAGAGGGACCCTCAGAGCAGTGGAACCCACTTGCTGTTCGATGTGGTCAGCCACCTGTGGGTTCAAAAGGAGAACGTTTGCAAAGTGTGGATTAAACTCAACCCTGCTCACTTTGCAATGTTTTTAATGGTGAAAAGCTGGACTGAGGGATTAAAGCAGTACAGACGATTGGCTCTCAGGTACTTCGGGTGAACACCAGCTGGCCCGCCCTTTAAAGAGACCAGGTGAGGGAAGGCCCAGGAGTGTGCGTGCCTGCTGCAGAGAGTCCTAGAAGCCTCGTGAGTTGTCCGATACGCCTGGTCCTCAAAATTTTCTTCTTTTAGTCAAAGACTGGGAACGACAGATGGTCAGTAATCAGATATTATCAGGAAATTCTAGAGCGTGGGTTCCTTGACCCCTTTTGGCCTCCCCCAAATCCTGAATTCGCATCGAAGCAAGGGTAGGGAGCGCTTCGGGTATGGGAATCTGGTCAGAAGCCCCCTTCAGATTTTTCCTCTAAATCAGGTCTGCTTTCCTCTATCCTAGAACTCAGTGGACAGCTGGGAAGGAGAGCGTTAGGGACCGTTTTCTCCGGCATGTGCGCTGCCGTTGCCTTTACTTGGGAAGCTGCTCAGCCAATCCCTGCACAGCACCTGGTGCTGCTTCTCAGGGTGTAGGCACACAGACTGCATCGAGTGGTGGTTGGAACGCCCTCTTTCTGGCAGTGGTTCACTGTTCAGAATTGGGGAACGTATGTCCTGCTTCCCCATTTGTAGTGCAGCCTTTGACTTTCCTTAGGACTTGAGGGGAGACTGGTAAGGTCACCAAAATGAGTGTCCTTTGGGGAAGAGGAGGTGCCATAACACCACCCAGGGACATACTGCTGAAACCTGTGTCACATTTGCAGAAGGAGCCTCAGGTCTGCAGAATAATGAGTCAGCTTTAGAGCGTGGGGACTGGTGCCTGCTGCGTGGGCATCACACTTGGCACCTCTGGGAAGTAGCAACTCAGAGCAGTGGCTGGGTTTCTGGGCTTGAACTGCAGAGAACAGCGTACTGGAAGAGGCCCCTCACACTGGAGGGGGTTCTACAAGTTTTCTGCCAGTCTAGACTGACCAGGAAGGTCCAAAGCCTGGAGTCCCAGCAGTCCCAGGTCAACCGAGCAAGTAGTGGTCAAAGGTGCAGGGACCCTGGTGTGTGGAGTCACACCCAGCCAGCCAGCCAGAGCCTTCCGCCTGCCCTCGGGGCGGGAATCTGGCATCCTGGGCTCTCCGTCCCCGTCCCCCTCGTCCCGTGAAGGCCCGTCCCCTTGCCCGCATCTCCAGGGAGGCACATTTTCAAGTACGGATCTCTTTTGTTCAGTTCTCTCCCACCAGGATCTCTTTCTTTGAAGCCCACTGCTGCATGCGTGCAGGCCTCATGCTCACACACCAGTCACTTCTGTTCTGTTTGAGTAAGTCCATGTCCGAACCACACGGTCCATGCATCTTTCCTTACCGCACTTACTCGATCTCTCTCTCCTTATGAAAAAGGACTTCATTTATTATTTTTTATTTTTTTATTTTTTGCAGTAGAACTGTATCTAATTCCATTAGCTTAAATTTTTGCAAGCATTTTTAATCTCTTACAATGCGCGGTCTCTGCAAGGTAAGGCCTCAGGTACCCCAGCCCTCCCCCCTTTCACACCTGAGGTCCCACCCACCGTGGCAGTACCAACCAGCGGGCTCCGGAGGTCAGTGGCTTCCCCCAGGGTGCCCTGTCCGTCAGCGTCCTCCCTGCCGGGCACCATTCTTTCCACACAGGCCCGCTCATACTCCTTCCCCATTCCCAACCTTTACCCCTGCCGTATGGTCTGGAATTTCTCTCCCTGGCTTTACCGTGAGTTCAAAACGCAGCTGCCCCTTCCCCCAGCAGATGGCGCTGAGCCCTGAGGGACAGTGTGCGCCTCCTTTGGTACAGCCTGGAACCCTGCCCGAGCCAGAGGACGTGTTTTGTTTATCCACAGTCCCAATGTCTCCCATACCTGTGGTGACAGTCCCCAACCCCAACCCCAACCCCCTCCCTGCTTCCACTGACCAAGATCAGGGTGGGGGCGGGGGAGCGGATGCCGGTCTGGGGATCTAGAAGAGCAGGAAGGAGGAAGTGTTCGGAACAGAGCCCACAGGCTCACTGTCTTTTCTGCCTCCCCCAGGATCCACGCACATTCTCACCCCACAGAAACTGCTGGACACGCTGAAGAAACTGAATAAAACAGATGAAGAAATAAGCAGTTAAAAAAATAAGCCTCCCCTCCAAACCCCGAACCCTCTTTCCCCCAGCGCTCCGCAGCCCTGCCGCTGACCGCCTTGGTTACTTTGCTGGCCCTCTCCCTCCGGGCCTCCCCAGCTCTGCACGCCTGGCCGGCGCTGCCGCCACTGCGTTCTCGTGTTCAATGATGCCCTCTTCTCGTTTGAAACAAAAGAAAATAATGCATTGTGTTTTTTAAAAAGAGTATCTTCTATATGTATCCTAAGAGGAGAAGTTCACGTGGAAGTGGCACACTGCAGGAGAAGGTTCGGAACTGTTTAGAATGAATGGACACCTTCTCCCCGTTAGTCACGATTCCGTGACCTTGTACATAGCCCAGTGTGACATGCGCGCATCGCTCGAGTATGAGAAGGTAGACGCTTGGTTGTTTTTCAAAACCCGTCTTGAGTTGTTCCTGTTCTTGTTGGGACTCACAGAGATGTCTGCTCCAGGAGTATTTCAAACTGAGGTTCAACCTGTGGCCTTCACTCCTCCTAACCCTCAGTGCCTGCTGTCGTTCAGATAAGCCGGGAAGTGAAGGCCAGGCATCATCTCGGGAGGTCTGAGCTGGCACCGACCTCTTTGCTTTCCCCAGTGGCTCATGCCCCTGATGCTGTGGCTGTGGGCGGGGGCTGAGGTGTCCACCCGAAGTCAGGCTGGGTGCCAGCTGGTGTCCAGCCTGTCACAGGACCCCCCACCCCGGCCCGTGTCCACAGCACTGTGATCCTGAGGGAAGGCATTCTGCAGTCTTAAGTCACCGTGCCCAGACAAGTGAGGAGTGAGCTCCCACTGGGGACCCCTGTCTCTTGGAGAAGCGGGTAGGCCTGATCCCTTTGACCAGACCCCTTCCTTCCCAGGCGTCAGCGCCATCACCTCTTAGCAGGGGTGTCAGCAGCCTGGGTCAAGTTCAAGGGTCAGGAATGGACTAGAACAGAATGGGTTCTGCAGGCTGCTGGTCAGAGGGCCCCTTCCTGTAGAGAGTGTCTGTCCCCTGAGACATCAAACAGCCGGAAGAATAGCCCGTCGGTTTATTCAGACCTTTTCCCACTCAGGTTATCCTCAGTTTAAGATACTTCGTAACACTTTAATTTTCGTAGTGCCAGGTCATATGTCGTTGTGCTTGTAAGAGAAAATGGTCATTCTATTCTTTGTATCAAAACTTAGCTGTATAACACTTAGCTCTAAAGCAAAAATTACAGAAGCCCGTGCAGACAGGATGTCTCGCCGTCCGCAGATGCGGCCGTGCTCGCTCTCCGCGAGCGAGTGCACCATTCGTCCTGCTGCTGTTGTCGGTTAATATAAAGACAGTGGAAGTCACAAAAACGTCCCCTGCCCAGCCCCCCACCGCCCTTTAACCCCTGCAGACCGTGTGTATATAACTGTCTCGTGACGTCGTTGCAAACGTGGTGTATGCTAGTTCAATGCGCCCCCCTTTCCTTTCGGAATATGTTCCTCGCCCGCCCGGTAGCTGCATCGTGGTGTTCTCTTCCCGAGGCTCTGAAATCTCCCCTCTGCACTCAGATTAGTTTTCAGGTCCGTCTCCCTTCTCCCCCTTAAGATAGCGATCTTATTTCCTTAGGACAGAACTGTAGGTACTTGCATTGGTTTGTTTCTTACTGTCACGGCTTGTTTTGTCCCCTCCCCCTCGACCAAACTGCTCATGCTTCAGGACCTTGTCTGTCGAACACGTTGGTTTTTTCTTTCTGTTATTTATATAAAAATAATTTATCAAAAGGATATTTTAAAAAAGCTAGTCTGTCTTGAAACTTGTTTACCTTGAAATTATCAGAATCTCAGTGTTTAAAGGTATTGAAGCACAAACATGTATCATCTCTGTACTGTTCTGTACTAAAGCACTCGAGTCTAATAAATAAATAAATCAGCGCCCATCACGGTGTCCAGAGTGACTCGAGTCTGGTCTTACTGCGGGGAGCGGAAGCAGGAAGGCTTCAGCACTGGCCCATGGCAGAGGAGACCAGCCGCCTGGCGTGGCTTGGAGTCTTCTGGACCCAGGTCACTGTTACTTGCATTGGGATCTATAGCTCTCTCACGTCTGGGGACAATCCGTGAAGCGTGTCTTGGGCCCCTGGCAGCAGCAGGGCACTGCCTGTAGACTAAGTAGTTCTTCCATTGCCCGCTTTCTCCCTATCTAGAATGTCTCTATCGCAGAGGACGCAGGGCTCTGCCTTTGCAGATGCTCCCTGCTTGAGCACTTGGTGACGGTGTATTTGGGGCATGCGACGAGGTCACTTTATCAGTGTCCCTGCTCCCCTCCGTTGCAGCTGCCACATCCTCCAGCCTTCTAATGAACGTCTCTCCAGATCAGAAGATGGTGCCCGTCCTGCTGGTTTCGAAGGCTGTTCGTGACCTGGGGAGACTGATGAGCTTCACCTGGCCTGGGGAGCAGGCCCTTAATTAGGGTTGCGGTCACACTGAAGACCTGCGGGAACACTGGGCACGGGGAGTGGGGCTTTGTCTTGCCTCCAGTTACTCATTCACATCCCAGTCTCCATAGCATGAGGAAACCTGACAAGCCAAGGCCAGTCGGTGGAAGCTGCACCTCCGCGACACGGCTGTTGTCTGGTGAAACTTACCTTGAGGCAGATAAGGATGACAGTGACCATTTATTGAGTTCCTGCTCCATGTCGGGCCCCACACAGCCCTTGTCTGTTGGATGCGTCCCTTCCAGTTTACAAATGAGGAAGCTAAGGCTCAGAGAGAGACAGTAACTCACGAAGCTCCCTTCAGCTGGGGAGCATCAGACGTTCATTGTCTTACATCAGCAGCTGCTTCACCGGTAACCAAAACGCCTTGGAATGAGATCCAAGATCAGAACTTTTAAACTCTAAATTGTTCTATACTGAGTTTACATTAAAGCAAAGTAAATACTGTTTGCTCCTTCCTAGGGCCGTCTGTTCCCACCAGGCCCACAGAAGTGGCTTGTAGTCTCCCTCTCTGATTGTTTTTGACATCCTTTGCCTCAGGGTCCCTGACACCTCTCTCCATTCCACCTCACTTCCTCCCAATGGCAGATAAGTCTGGCCCTTGCTATGCCCCTGGCAGAAGTCCTGGTTCCCCGGTGACACAGCACAGGTGGAGCCTGCAGGTCGTTCCTCCCAAAAGTTTCCAAAGTGTTCAATATTCTCAGAGGGGTAGAGGTTTCTGAAACAACCCAAAGCAGATAGCGCTGAATCAACTGAGCGTCGTAAACAAGACAGGTCCCTGAGCTGCAGCCAGTCACTCTGCCTTTCCAGGGACCCTGCTGAGGGGCCTGTACACCCACCTCGGTGTGACACCAGGCATTTGTTCCTGGAAGGCAGAATGGCAGAGTGACTAGGAGCACAGATCTCAGCATCAGGCAGGCCTGGCTCAGATCCACGTGACCTCGATAGGAACTGTGTCCCCTCCTGGGAGTGATGCTTGTGAAGCAGTGATATTGAGCTGAAGTATTGCTGGGTGTAGAATTCTTGGTTGACCGTTTTTCTTTCCACGCTTTGAGTGTCATTCTACTGCCTCTGGCCTCCAAGATGTCTCGTAAGAGGTCAGCTGATAATCTTATCAAGGAGCCCTTGCGTGTGATGAGTAGTTTCCGTATTGCTGCTTTCAATATTCTTTTGTCTTTGTCTTTCTCCAGTTTGTGATGTGTCTAGGTCTGAATCTCTTCTTCAGCCTGAATCTTCTTCAGCCTGGAGTTCATTGAGCTTACTGGGTGTGCAGGTTAATGTTTTTCATCAACTATGGGAAGTTTTCAGCCATTTTTTTTCTTTTTTAAAAAATTTATTTATTTTAATTAGTTTCAAGTATACAGTACATTGGTTAGACATCTATATAGTTCATAAAACG